ACATTTTTATTTTGTCATGATTAAAAGTTTTTATAAAAGGTTAATCAATCATAGTGATTTTGTTGTGTTTTTGCTTTATAATCAATCATTAACTCGTTTATAAGTAGTTTATGTTAAAAAAATAATCCTTGCAATATATTGCAATACATATCGCAATATATGCTTCTGCATCGCAATATATCGCAATATGAAAATTCTCTGCAATACCCACCCCTAGCCGTAAGCATGTATTGTCTGTCATTAATACAGTTAAGAATATAACCTTGTCGGAAGTCCATTAGCCTGTGGTGGAGACGACAAAGATATTGTCATTCATGAATTCTTCTTAAGGAAACAAAGGTAGACCTGTCGTAAGCATGTATTGCCTGTCATTAATACAGTCAAGAATATAACCTTGTCGGAAGCACATTAGCCTGTGGTGGAGACGACAAAGATATTGTCATTCATGAATTCTTCTTAAGGAAACAAAGGTAGACCTGCCGTAAGAGTGTATTGCCTGTCATTAATACAGTCAAGAATATAACCTTGTCGGAAGCCCATTAGCCTGTGGTGCTGTTATAAGGCTGCTAGTCTTTCCGGAGAAATCAACTTGTATGATAGTAACATCCTTTTGTTTTAATTTCGTCTCCTTCATTTCGTTTCTTGAAATGTGCTATGACAAAGAGCTGGTAGCCAAAATCCAAGAATCTCAAGAATATCCCAAGTGGTGAAGATAATGTACATAGCGAGAAACATGCCAGGAAATGTTATTGATGCGAATATAATATAAAAGCTAATTAACAACCTTATAGAGTGAAGACGGTAATTACCGTGAACAGATCGCATGGATGCTCTGAGAGTAGGAAGACAACCAGAAGCTGTCATTAACCTCTGTCCTTACTCAGACCCAATTAGCCTTAGATCAGGTGTCCGGTCGCGGTCCTAAAGGTGTCATAATGACGTGTCCTGGAAGTGGTTAACCCCTGGGACCACCACTGCCCGTCGGTAAGGAGAAGTGTACGCAGTCTCGTGTGTGCAGGAATCTATGGGTCGAGTGTAGGACATGGATGGTAGGTAATTGATAACGCTCCCCAGCCCTTCTATTTGCTCGGAAGTACAAGAGTTAAGGCAAAACGTTCATGCATACGAATGAACAATTTTATCAGATTATTCCGGGTGTCAACTTCTAAAGTGAAAAAAATCAATTGCCAACAAGATAAGGGTGTTTTTCATGCTAATTAACCATTGCTACTGGACGATCGTGCGTTTCGTAGTGAATAACACCCTATTAATTAAACAATATTAGTAGGGATGACATAATTTCATGTTTGGCACTTACTGGTTTCCACACTTCCAAACGGTCCAAGGTGTTGTACACGTCATATGTCCACGTTACAACACAAGGGTGCTGATCACCATTGTAATCTGATTGGCACCGGGGTTATCACAAGGTCTTCTTCGGATGATCAGACATTTCGACCTTATGAAATCTTTCTAACAACAGTTGAGAAATATGCATTGTAATTCACATTCTTGGTGAGTGAGTGACTGTAATTCATGGAAATGTACCGAGGAATATGTGGATAAAGACAGAAGACGTGACACAGAACTTATCTGACCCAGTCAGTATTCTTCTGATTTTTTGTTTGTTTTTCTTTCCTTTTTTTGTTAGTTTGTTTCTATTTTGGCATTTGCTCGAAAATACGTTTCTTGACTTCATTCAATATACAGCATTTAAGTTTGGTAATCCTTCAGATTTACCGCAAACCTAAACTGACAGGAAAATATGTCTGATTTACATCTGAAAAATGTGTTTCATCCTTAAAGCATTTACAGTTTCGTACCAGTGCGTGTGTGCGTGTATTCAGTTATCTCTTCGTTAATCTCTATGTCTATGTCGAAGTGCGTGTGTGCGTGTATTCGGTCATCTCTTCGTTTTATCTCTATGTCTATGTCGAAGTGCGTGTGTGCGTGTATTCAGTTATCTCTTCGTTTTATCTCTATGTCTATGTCGAAGTGCGCGTGTGCGTGTATTCAGTTATCTCTTCGTTTTATCTCTATGTCTATGTCGAAGTGCGCGTGTGCGTGTATTCAGTTATCTCTTCGTTTTATCTCTATGTCTATGTCGAAGTGCGTGTGTGCGTGTATTCAGTTATCTCTTCGTTTTATCTCTATGTCGAAGTGCGTGTGTGCGTGTATTCAGTTATCTCTTCGTTTTATCTCTATGTCTATGTCGAAGTGCGCGTGTGCGTGTATTCAGTTATCTCTTCGTTTTATCTCTATGTCTATGTCGAAGTGCGTGTGTGCGTGTATTCAGTTATCTCTTCGTTTTATCTCTATGTCGAAGTGCGTGTGTGCGTGTATTCAGTTATCTCTTCGTTTTATCTCTATGTCTATGTCGAAGTGCGTGTGTGCGGGTATTCAGTTATCTCTTCGTTTTATCTCTATGTAGAAGCAACACAATAAATGACACAGGTCGTATACAATTATCACTTCGGTGTTTAAATCTCCCGACCCTTCATCAGTTACAACCAATAGTTTACGTCAAATAGGAAAATGTATTTTGCGCCTAATGCCCTGACTGATGCTGGTTACTGTGACTGCTACAGTGTGAGATACTGCCTTGAGGAGCGTCATGGCCTGACTGATGCTGGTCACTGTGACTGCTACAGTGTGAGATACTGCCTGGAGGAGCGTCATGGCCTGACTGATGCTGGTCACTGTGACTGCTACAGTGTGAGATACTGCCTGGAGGAGCGTCATGGCCTGACTGATGCTGGTCACTGTGACTGCTACAGTGTGAGATACTGCCTGGAGGAGCGTCATGGTCTGACTGATGCTGGTTACTGTGACTGCTACAGTGTGAGATACTGCCTGGACGAGCGTCATGGCCTGACTGATGCTGGTCACTGTGACTGCTACAGTGTGAGATACTGCCTGGACGAGCGTCATGGCCTGACTGATGCTGGTTACTGTGACTGCTACAGTGTGAGATACTGCCTTGAGGAGCGTCATGGCCTGACTGATGCTGGTCACTGTGACTGCTACAGTGTGAGATACTGCCTGGAGGAGCGTCATGGCCTGACTGATGCTGGTTACTGTGACTGCTACAGTGTGAGATACTGCCTGGACGAGCGTCATGGCCTGACTGATGCTGGTTACTGTGACTGCTACAGTGTGAGATACTGCCTGGACGAGCGTCATGGCCTGACTGATGCTGGTTACTGTGACTGCTACAGTGTGAGATACTGCCTGGACGAGCGTCATGGCCTGACTGATGCTGGTCACTGTGACTGCTACAGTGTGAGATAGATACTGCCTGGAGGAGCGTCATGGCCTGACTGATGCTGGTTACTGTGACTGCTAGTGTGAGATACTGCCTGGAGGAGCGTCATGGCCTGACTGATGCTGGTTACTGTGACTGCTACAGTGTGAGATACTGCCTGGACGAGCGTCATGGCCTGACTGATGCTGGTTACTGTGACTGCTAGTGTGAGATACTGCCTGGAGGAGCGTCATGGCCTGACTGATGCTGGTTACTGTGACTGCTACAGTGTGAGATACTGCCTGGAGGAGCGTCATGGCCTGACTGATGCTGGTTACTGTGACTGCTAGTGTGAGATACTGCCTGGAGGAGCGTCATGGCCTGACTGATGCTGGTTACTGTAACTGCTACAGTGTGAGATACTGCCTGGACGAGCGTCATGGCCTGACTGATGCTGGTCACTGTGACTGCTACAGTGTGAGATACTGCCTGGACGAGCGTCATGGCCTGACTGATGCTGGTCACTGTGACTGCTACAGTGTGAGATACTGCCTGGACGAGCGTCATGGTCTGAGTGCTGTATTGTCACTGCTTAGTTCGTTACGAATATGTCCTCTTCACACTTCGGTCGTTCCATCAAACGACTTACGGCTTAATACGGACCCATACTCAACATTGACTCAAAGTAAATGAATTTTCTGTTGATCACAAAGTCGTGGAGCTTCCAAAATGGACGGCCAGCCCTGTTGGTAGTTGGTGGTCTCTTTTATGCCTTTGTACTCATCACGACGTCATCGATCGCGAGATCTTCAGTGTAAACACCAACTGCATTTCTATAACAATACTATGTCGGTTATTTCCAGGTAATATTTGTTTCAATACTATGTCGGTTATTTCCAGGTAATATTTGTTTAAAGAACAATTACATCCGGCTGTGTGAAACAGTGGATAGTCCCACTGGCGGCAGCTGTATCTGCCTCATACATCTGATCACTTTTCCCAGAGTGTTGATGATGTGAGTGCTTCTTGCTTTATGTTAAAATTCAATATAATTGTTTCCAACTCTGCTGTAATCCAGGGATTCAATTATTAAAGAGAATGCTTCAATTACGTGTCGGCGTAATAACCCAGGATACATTGTGGTGGAGCGGGGTGTATGATAGAGCCACATAAAGCCAGTAACAACGGAGAACTGGATGCATAATTAACTATCCTACTTGCGAGCAACACTGTGGGGTGTGAGACACTACTCACGGTGTGCCAAACATGTTCGCATTTCCATGTTGTTCTACGTTGTAAACCTGGAGCTTCTGGTGTACTTCATGTGATACGTTTACAGCCTTACCCATAGGAGCCAACTGAACTTTGTCAGGCACTCAGCGGATGGCAGTTTAACTTTCAGTCGTTTAAATGTAAGAATAAAGTGAGAATAACATTTCGCATGAAAACAAAATCTGAGAAGAATATTGAAAGGACGTTTACTGTTTCATGACCTGTACTGCGTGCATTATATCCGGCCAAACATAACACAATTACATTGCTGTCGCAGACTTTGACACAAGTTTTCCTTCTGTGTAATATGATGGTAGTATGCCTGTACTGCAAGTACTAATCTATGTCCAAGTATGTCACACTTTTTCATCTGAGACATTTAAACTGAATAACTTTGTTTTGTTTCTTTCTGGTAACCGAAATTCGCTGACGTTGCTAGTATGTGAGGTATCCTGTGAGTATCTGACTGCGTTTTCTGTTTCAGTCTGTGGTAATGTTTGCCTCCACGTACATGCTGGTGTCGCTCAGCATCGACAGACTCGACGCCGTCGCTCGCCCCATGCTCTTCAGTGGAAGCTGTATGTATAGCTATATGGCCATTTGTGGGAGTGCGCGTGTGTGTACATGCATGCATATATTTATGAATGTGTGTTTGTTTTAGTGTGTGTGTGTGTGTGCGTGCGTGCGTGTGTGTGCGTGTATTCAATTATATCTCTTCTTTTTATCTCTATGTAGAAGCAAGACAATAAATGACACAGGTCGCATACAATTATCACTTTGGTGTAACCCAAGAGAACAGATAAAGTGATGGCAGCTCATGAATCACAATTGCGGCGTTCATAATAAACACTTGACTGTCAGGCCGCCGTCCTACAGCTCCATCCAACAACTCCGGCGTTAAATATCCAGCAATTTGTATGTTAACCCTATATGTGCTGTTCTATTGAAGGGAAGCGAGCGAGACTTCTGATAGGTGGAGCGTGGGTACTGTCTCTCATCTTCTCCATCCCCATGTTGGTGCTGTTCCACGAGGCGAACGTTCACGGAGGCCCCCAGTGTTACATCACCATGCAGCATGACTGGCACTGGCAGGTACATCAACGAACAGTTCACTCAGAGCCAACCACGAACAGATCACTTATAGAGCCAACGAAAAACAGTTCACTTACAGAACCAACCACAAACAGTTCACTTACAGAGCCAACCACAAGCAGTTCACTCAGAGCCAACCACGAACAGTTCACTTATAGAGCCAACGACAAACAGTTCACTTACAGAGCCAACCACAAACAGTTCACCCATAGAGTCAACCACAAGCAGTTCACTCATAGAGCCAACCACAAACAGTTCACCCATAGAGACAACCACAAGCAGTTTACTTATAGAGCCCACCACAAGCAGTTCACTCATAGAGCCAACCATAAACAGTTCACTTATAGAGCCAACCACAAACAGTTCACTCATAGAGCCAACCACAAACAGATCACTTATAGAGCCAACCACAAACAGTTTACTTATAGAGCCAACCACAAAGAGTTCACTTATAGAGCCAACCACAAGCAGTTCACTTATAGAGCCAACCACAAGCAGTTCACTTATAGAGCCAACCACAAGCAGTTCACTCATATAGCCAACCGCAAACAGTTCACTCATAGAGCCAACCACAAACAGTTCACTTACGGATCCAACCACAAACAGTTCACTTATAGAGCCAACCACAAACAGTTCACTCATAGAGCCAGCCACAAACAGTTCACTTACGGATCCAACCACAAGCAGTTCACTTATAAAGCCAACCACAAGCAGTTCACTCGTAGAGCCAACCACAAACAAGTCACTCATAGAGCCAACCACAAACAGTTCACTCATAGAGCCAACCACAAACAGTTCACTTATAGAGCCAACCACAAGCAGTTCACTTACGGATCCAACCACAAACAGTTCACTTATAGAGCCAACCACAAACAGTTCACTCATAGAGCCAACCACAAACAGTTCACTCATAGAGCCAACCACAAACAGTTCACTTATAGAGCCAACCACAAGCAGTTCACTTACGGATCCAACCACAAACAGTTCACTTATAGAGCCAACCACAAACAGTTCACTCATAGAGCCAACCACAAACAGTTCACTCATAGAGCCAACCACAAACAGTTCACTTATAGAGACAACCACAAACAGTTCACTCATAGAGCCAACCACAAACAGTTCACTCATAGAGCCAACTGCAAACAGTTCACTCATAGAGACAACCACAAACAGTTCACTTATAGAGCCAACCACAAACAGTTCACTTATAGAGCCAACCACAAGCAGTTCACCATAGAGCCAACCACAAACAGTTCACCATAGAGCCAACCACAAACAGTTCACTCATAGAGCCAACCACAAACAGTTCACTCATAGAGCCAACCACAAACAGTTCACTTACAGAGCCAACCGCAAACAGTTCACTCATAGAGCCAACCACAAACAGTTCACTCATAGAGCCAACCACAAACAGTTCACTTATAGAGACAACCACAAACAGTTCACTTATAGAGCCAACCACAAACAGTTCACTTATAGAGCCAACCACACGCAGTTCACTTATAGAGCCAATCAGAAACAGTTCACTCATAGAGCCAACAACAAACAGTTCACTCATAGAGCCAACCACAAACAGTTCACTTACGGATCCAACCACAAACAGTTCACTTATAGAGCCAACCACAAACAGTTCACTTATAGAGCCAACCACAAACAGTTCACTTATAGAGCCAACCACAAACAGTTCACTGATAGAGCCAACCACAAACAGTTTACTTATAGAGCCAACCACAAACAGTTCACTGATAGAGCCAACCACAAACAGTTTACTTATAGAGCCAACCACAAACAGTTCACTGATAGAGCCAACCACAAACAGTTCACTCATAGAGCCAACCACAAACAGTTCACTCATAGAGCCAACCACAAACAGTTCACTTATAGAGCCAACCACAAACAGTTCACTCATAGAGCCAACCACAAACAGTTCACTTATAGAACCAACCACAAACAGTTCACTTATAGAGCCAACCACAAGCAGTTCACTTACGGATCCAACCACAAACAGTTCACTTATAGAGCCAACCACAAGCAGTTCACTTACGGATCCAACCGCAAACAGTTCACTTATAGAGCCAACCACAAGCAGTTCACTTACGGATCCAACCACAAACAGTTCACTTATAGAGCCAACCACAAACAGTTCACTCATAGAGACAACCACAAACAGTTCACTCATAGAGCCAACCACAAACAGTTCCCCATAGAGCCAACCACAAACAGTTCACTTATAGAGCCAACCACAAACAGTTCACTTACGGATACAACCACAAACAGTTCACTTATAGAGCCAATCAGAAACAGTTCACTTACGGATCCAACCACAAACAGTTCACTTATAGAGCCAACCACAAACAGTTCACTTACGGATCCAACCACAAACAGTTCACTTATAGAGCCAACCACAAGCAGTTCACTTACGGATCCAACCACAAACAGTTCACTTATAGAGCCAACCACAAGCAGTTCACTTACGGATCCAACCACAAACAGTTCACTTATAGAGCCAACCACAAACAGTTCACTCATAGAGCCAACCACATACAGTTCACTCATAGAGACAACCACAAACAGTTCACTCATAGAGACAACCACAAACAGTTCACTCATAGAGCCAACCGCAAACAGTTCACTTATAGAGCCAAACCACAAGCAGTTCACTTACGGATCCAACCACAAACAGTTCATTTATAGAGCCAACCACAAACAGTTCACTTATAGAGCCAATCAGAAACAGTTCACTTACGGATCCAACCACAAACAGTTCACTTATAGAGCCAACCACAAGCAGTTCACTTACGGATCCAACCACAAACAGTTCACTTATAGAGCCAACCACAAGCAGTTCACTTACGGATCCAACCACAAACAGTTCACTCATAGAGCCAACCACAAACAGTTCACTCATAGAGCCAACCACAAACAGTTCACTCATAGAGCCCACCACAAGCAGTTCACTTATAGAGCCAACCACAAGCAGTTCACTTATAGAGCCAACCACAAACAGTTCACTCATAGAGCCAACCACAAGCAGTTCACTTATAGAGCCAACCACAAGACGTTCACTCATATAGCCAACCACAAACAGTTCACTTATAGAGCCAACCACAAACAGTTCACTTATAGAGCCAACCACAAACAGTTCACTCAAAGAGCCAACCACAAACAGTTCACTCATAGAGCCAACCACAAGCAGTTCACTCATAGAGCCAACCACAAAGAGTTCACTCATAGAGCCAACCACAAGCAGTTCACTCATAGAGCCAACCACAAACAGTTCACTCATAGAGCCAACCACAAGCAGTTCACTTACGGATCCAACCACAAACAGTTCACTTATAGAACCAACCACAAACAGTTCACTTATAGAGCCAACCACAAACAGTTCACTTATAGAGCCAATCAGAAACAGTTCACTTACGGATCCAACCACAAACAGTTCACTTATAGAGCCAACCACAAGCAGTTCACTTACGGATCCAACCACAAACAGTTCACTTATAGAGCCAACCACAAGCAGTTCACTTACGGATCCAACCACAAACAGTTCACTTATAGAGCCAACCACAAGCAGTTCACTTACGGATCCAACCACAAACAGTTCACTTATAGAGCCAACCACAAACAGTTCACTCATAGAGCCAACCACAAACAGTTCACTCATAGAGCCAACCACAAACAGTTCACTTATAGAGACAACCACAAACAGTTCACTCATAGAGCCAACCACAAACAGTTCACTCATAGAGCCAACCGCAAACAGTTCACTCATAGAGACAACCACAAACAGTTCACTTATAGAGCCAACCACAAACAGTTCACTTATAGAGCCAACCACAAGCAGTTCACTCATAGAGCCAACCACAAACAGTTCACTCATAGAGCCAACCACAAACAGTTCACTCATAGAGCCAACCACAAACAGTTCACTCATAGAGCCAACCACAAACAGTTCACTTACAGAGCCAACCGCAAACAGTTCACTCATAGAGCCAACCACAAACAGTTCACTCATAGAGCCAACCACAAACAGTTCACTTATAGAGACAACCACAAACAGTTCACTTATAGAGCCAACCACAAACAGTTCACTTATAGAGCCAACCACACGCAGTTCACTTATAGAGCCAATCAGAAACAGTTCACTCATAGAGCCAACAACAAACAGTTCACTCATAGAGCCAACCACAAACAGTTCACTCATAGAGCCAACCACAAACAGTTCACTTACGGATCCAACCACAAACAGTTCACTTATAGAGCCAACCACAAACAGTTCACTTATAGAGCCAACCACAAACAGTTTACTTATAGAGCCAACCACAAACAGTTCACTGATAGAGCCAACCACAAGCAGTTCACTTACAGAGCCAACCACAAACAGTTCACTTATAGAGCCAACCACAAACAGTTCACTCATAGAGCCAACCACAAACAGTTCACTCATAGAGCCAACCACAAACAGTTCACTTATAGAACCAACCACAAACAGTTCACTTATAGAGCCAATCAGAAACAGTTCACTTACGGATCCAACCACAAACAGTTCACTTATAGAGCCAACCACAAGCAGTTCACTTACGGATCCAACCACAAACAGTTCACTTATAGAGCCAACCACAAGCAGTTCACTTACGGATCCAACCGCAAACAGTTCACTTATAGAGCCAACCACAAGCAGTTCACTTACGGATCCAACCACAAACAGTTCACTTATAGAGCCAACCACAAACAGTTCACTCATAGAGACAACCACAAACAGTTCACTCATAGAGCCAACCACAAACAGTTCCCTCATAGAGCCAACCACAAACAGTTCACTTATAGAGCCAACCACAAACAGTTCACTTACGGATACAACCACAAACAGTTCACTTATAGAGCCAATCAGAAACAGTTCACTTACGGATCCAACCACAAACAGTTCACTTATAGAGCCAACCACAAACAGTTCACTTACGGATCCAACCACAAACAGTTCACTTATAGAGCCAACCACAAGCAGTTCACTTACGGATCCAACCACAAACAGTTCACTTATAGAGCCAACCACAAGCAGTTCACTTACGGATCCAACCACAAACAGTTCACTTATAGAGCCAACCACAAACAGTTCACTCATAGAGCCAACCACATACAGTTCACTCATAGAGACAACCACAAACAGTTCACTCATAGAGACAACCACAAACAGTTCACTCATAGAGCCAACCGCAAACAGTTCACTTATAGAGCCAACCACAAGCAGTTCACTTACGGATCCAACCACAAACAGTTCACTTATAGAGCCAACCACAAACAGTTCACTTACGGATCCAACCACAAACAGTTCACTTATAGAGCCAACCACAAGCAGTTCACTTACGGAGCCAACCACAAACAGTTCACTTATAGAGCCAACCACAAACAGTTCACTTATAGAGCCAACCACAAACAGTTCACTTATAGAGCCAACCACAAACAGTTCACTCATAGAGCCAACCGCAAACAGTTCACTTATAGAGCCAACCACAAGCAGTTCACTCATATAGCCAACCACAAGCAGTTCACTCATAGAGCCAACCACAAACAGTTCACTTACGGATCCAACCACAAACAGTTCACTTATAGAGCCAACCACAAACAGTTCACTTATAGAGCCAACCACAAGCAGTTTACTTATAGAGCCAACCACAAACAGTTCACTTATAGAGCCAACCACAAGCAGTTCACTTACAGAGCCAACCACAAACAGTTCACTTATAGAGCCAACCACAAACAGTTCACTCATAGAGCCAACCACAAGCAGTTCACTCATAGAGACAACCACAAACAGTTCACTCATAGAGCCCACCACAAGCAGTTCACTTATAGAGCCAACCACAAACAGTTCACTCATAGAGCCAACCACAAATATTTCACTCATAGAGCCAACCACAATACAGTGTAACATTGATCTTGGGTGGGTACCACTGCATCTTCTTGAGAACTTTGCATACATTAAGTAAACACGTCCCGATGTGCGTGAGTTGCTGTTCAGTTGGTTGTGTCGAATAGGTGAGTGGTATTCCACTCGCTGATATACCGCTCACCCACTCGGCACAACCAACTAAACCACAACTCCCACACGTTGAAACATATACAACGGTTGTTGAATGGGTTAAAAACGATAGGTTTGTTTTGTTAATTAATTAATGACCATCAATCAATGTTGATTCACCGCCAACAAGATTGATGTATACTGTACCGCTAAGTGGCTGAGCTGACACTGAGTGAGTTCGCTAATCACGTCGTTAATTGGGTCTTGGGGGTAGTAAATCAGTTAGCTATAGCCGTTAATTCGCTACTCACGAGTTCGTTATCCACGTATAATTTTAATGATATTATAAAGGACTGTTGACGGGACTTTTAAATTTGTTCGCTATATCCGTTTGTACGCTATATCCGTGTTCGCTATAACCATGTTCGACTGTATATGGGAGTTGTGGTTTAGTTGGTTGTGTCGAACAGTGAACATGTCGATGTGTGTGAGTTGGTGTCTGGTTGCTTGTGTCGAGTTTGCTGCAGTATATCTTATTGTAAACATGTTTCGATGTGTGTGAGTTATGGTTATATTATAGCATAACAATGTACTGACGGGAGTGTTAGATTGACATCAATATTCAACTAGTACTTTAATCTTTCCAAACTAAATATAATTATAACTTCAAGCAGTCACGTGAGGCTTCATGTAAGGTCCAAATGCTACGTGACAAAACAGTTACAAACAGTAATTCGTGTTTAAACTTGTCCTCAACAACATCCATATCGGCCTAGTTTCCTTCCAGCTTTACTTAACCCTGATTGCCATCAGTCTGTTTGTCGTCCCCGCCATCATCATCTGCTTCTGCTACCTCGTCATCATCTTCACCATCTGGCGGAGCAGCATCCTGCTCAAACCTCAAGACACGCCCGAACAGAAGAGGGCAAGAAGGAAGTCCAAAGATGAAGGTAAGAACCCAGCGGTAATATGTCACGTTCCCGGTGACAAAGTAAGATATAAGAAACCAGCTCATGGTCGTCCATTAGTACCAGTCATCTTCTGATGTGTTAGATTTATTAGAGAGTATCGGAAAAGGGGGATGGCATATATTGCCGCGTGTTTATAACACACATATCTTTTTGTATACTTTTTATAGTTAATAAAGTTTAGACGTTTCACAGTCAAGTCAGTTTAAAGCGATTGGTAGTCTGTAAAATACCTGTAGTAATTCCTTTTAACCTGAAGCCATTTCTAAGAGTTAACAACACTAGTTCTACAGGACTGGATACACTGGAGAAGTGAAATATAACGTACGCCTTGTCATAATCATCAGGGGAACCATACATATAGGTACAATGTCAGCACTGATTATTACTTTTGATATGATTAAATCACAGAAACCGTTTATTTTTGTGATTCATCATAAAGTTGGACTTATAGGCTGCGATATTACGCCGTCATACACTATGAAGTTTACGTCGTCATACACTATGAAGTTTACGTCGTCATACACTATGAAGTTTACGTCGTCATACACTATGAAGTTTACGTCGACATACACTATGAACTTTGGCAAAGACTCTCTTGTTCCCGCGGCTGCATTAAATAATTATATATATGTGGCTTTCCGAGTATTTCAATATTATGATTGTCCCATGTTTCAGAACCATGAAGTACACGACTACCCCTGTTAATGGCAGGGAAAGCTTACTTGGGACATTGTACATGCATATACTGTGTGTGGGAAAGCTTACATGGGACATTGTACATGAATGTACTCTGTGTGGGAAAGCTTACTTGGGACATTGTACATGCATATACTCTGTGTGGGAAAGCTTACTTGGGGCATTGTACATGCATGTAATCTGTATTAACTGCCTTTGTTTTCTCTTTTAGAACTTTTAACCGGGAGCCTGACAACTTCTCGGAGCGACAGCTGTACCAGTTCAAGGGGAATTATTCCTCAAGCAAAAGTTCGAACTATTAAAATGACTTTCATAATAGTTTTAGGTGAGGCATACAACAAACTCACTACCTTTAATTCATTCGCGAACGACTTTAAGGCGAGGAATTGTTGTCCTTTTGTGACAGAAAAGATATCGTTTCAGTAAGTGCAGTTTTAAAAAAATACTTTTCTACCAATGCTTATTCAACAGCATTCAAAGTATTTTATACGTACTTGAAACATCTCTGACGACACTTATTAAACGATCCATTTTTTATCGGTTGTCAATCTTTTATACTTTGAATTAACAGAATTAGCTTGCCTGTAAAGTGAATAGTTTCAAAATATCCAGAACAAACGTGTCATCGACGCTACTCAAGTCCGCATCATATAATATGTTGATGTATAATAACCACCTCGGCTGCGGCGACCCATAAGTGGTGAAATCGTGTGTTTGTAAATTTTTAGAATTAACTGTTAAATAGTTTCAGATGTGTATAATTGCACGTTTAGCACTGAATGGGTGATTTGGGATTCAGACCCCTTTCTTAATGTGGGCTGAAAGTTGAAGTGATACAGGTCTCAGATATGTACCACTTACACAAACCTGCCCAAGTCCAGGAGCATGAGTGTGGTGCTCACCAACCTAGATACATAATCGGGATGAGCTAGGATTCAAACAGAAAGTGGGCGACTCGCATAGTGTTAATACAGAATGAAAACAGTTCAACTATTTTGCAGAAGAGAATAATTTGTGAACGTTTTACAGGGGGGAGTATTTTCAGTTTCAGGAAGTAATTATTAAAAGTCAGATAGCGTGCTCGTGACTGTCGGTTTGTGAATGACCTCGCCACTGCAATATAACTCAATATATCTAGGTTTATTTTAATATTTGCCAACATTTGCCAACATTTGCCAACAACGGCTCGCGCTGGCTGGAGTACCATACAGGTGCATGTAGTCATTCGTAGAATGGCGTTAACTGAATAGGCTGCCGGTCTGTACCCTGAACGATATTTTGTCAAGTATTTTAAGTGATTAATAGTCATATGTTAAGATATGATACTAGTTCTGTTTGCTGTTCCTTGTCGACCTATTCGTAAATAATTTAGAGATATTATTCAAATCCGTTCGAAATACTGCCACCATTGCTTTAAGTTGTAACACGCAGTACATTTACATTACAAGAAGAACCCTAACCCAACTATGAATATAGAAACGCTTGGGATTCTATATTCTTTTCTAGATACTCTTAGTTGGGCGAGTACACCATATGCAACAAATCCACGAAGATTATGTTATAAACAAGTAACTATCTTGCCAAAACGTCATACATTATAACCATCCTCTCTTTTTTCAGTTTTTATCGTGTGTTGGAGTCCGTACTTTATATTCAACCTGTTTCAAGTGTACGGCTATGTCCCCCACACACCAACCATGGGAAAGATATCCACATTTGTTCAAAGTCTGGCCCCATTAAACTGTGCCGCTAACCCCGTCATATACGGCATCTTCAGCACACGAATCTGCAAATACTTAAGGTAAGTTGGCGGGTGATGGAGAAGTTCCTTACGACAGTGTTTAATGTTGGAATTATAGCTACCAACCTCGTACACATGGAGTGATGGTTAGAGGAGAAAAGCCATACGATTGTCCATTTCGCAGATGTGATTTTACATATTCAAATCCAAATCAGTGCATATTTTATTTTATCCAGGCTGAATCGACGAGATCGGCTTCAAAACACTAAAGATTTATAGAAGTACCTTTTAAAATTAAAGAAGGCAGAATTCTTCAATGCACGGACCGGGATTTTGCATGAACGAAATGCGTCAACTAGGATAAATAATTATATTGATCGTCTAACATTTATTAACTGAGTCGTAACCATAGGTCTCTTACTACTGTTAATTCTCTCTATAACGCTAGCACACTCTTTATATCCACCTGGGGAAACAGCGTCCAGACATTCTGTTTCATTTTATAGGTATGCATGTTGTTGATCACTGGATTGTCTGGCCCAGACTCGACTATTTACAGACCGCCACCAGAAAGCTGGAAGTGCGTCGTGAAACAACAAACAAACATGTCATAGGTGTAGACGACAGTTAGGTCAACTGACTAGCAAACCTGACTAATTTGTCTGCGTGTTATGGCAGGGGGATTTCCTACAGATTCCCTGACCCCATTTCCTGGAAATTAGTGTACAAAGTGTGCCGTTTATGCAATTAATAACAAGGATTGATCTTCGAACGGACATTCCCTGTTTGATACAGCGAACGTCATTCCAGTATTGTCTAGACACTGTTTCCTTTCGACATTTCGTGGGCTTCACAATAGCCAAATAATGGAAAGTTTATGTTTCATAATAGCATCTTATCGTTCATCATCAAATTATCTTGATGCCATCTTGGGAGACATCAATGAACCCACACAAGGAGAAGAAATGGCATCATTGAATGGAGATAGATTTCATTACTGAAAATACTGCTGACTTACACTACCTATCATAATTACACATACAAAGTGTACGTCAAATAACATTAGAATGCCAAACTACAACTCTAGATATACTAATTACTTTGACCACAACGACAACCCTTAAGTTAACGGCCATCTTGTAAAAGCTACTGTATGAAGACGCCACAAAGATTGTTATTTGTAACGGGATTGACATGAACCGTCAGAGCTAAAGACCAGGCAAGATGGTTTTCGTGTTTTGAGGACTTAATGAGAATGTCCTACAGAAATAATTCTTGATCAATTTGACGGCCCGGGCCATTTCCATGATGACTCTTAAACCCCCGGTAAGTGTCTGGGACCAGGAGGAAGATCTCTAATAATGTTTCTAGGACTTACCCCTTGGGGGCATCAGGCGGACCACAGAAGAAAGCATAGACAATAAGGCTATCTTTTCTCCATGCTTAGACAATCACTAAATTAACTACGGCTGACGGTGTAAGCGGGTTTGGGGCCTTGTTAAAAGCGTTTTCATTTCGTCAAGACAATAGTGCTTGTTCCAGTTTTTCCCTTCACTGATGTTGGGATTTATGACAAGCAATTACTGAAAGCAAACTTGGACTGTCTGTGACAAAGGGATTGCGTCGTTCCTTGTCAGTGTTCAGCGATGTGTCCTTCTTAAGTGACCCGTCTATATTGACATACCATTCGATGTATAGTTAAGATGTCAGCGCTGCTATAACGTGATCCAGGAGGGTGTAGACAGCTGCTGTGTGTCAACTTATTCTATAAATTATGTCTAGTCCAGTCCCTTCTCTTTTCACAGCAGTTAATGAAATAAGGGGGTAGTTGAGAAGCTAGCCGTTGGTTCCTAGTGCAACACGGAGGTGATAAAACATATGTTTCATTGACTGTAGAACAGGGAAATATTGATACCTGCATGTATTTCTGCAATGAGTTGTTCTCGCCATAAAGACTATATACAGAATTCTATGAGAGGGTCCTGTACACATTACTTGGTGATTCATTGTCGAATACCGTGAAAACCTGGCATTCAGAATGAGTCGTCCTTTTTCAGCCATATCGTAACTCAAATAAATGAATAGATAAATATATGAATAAATGACGTTAAACTAACTTGACTATCACAAAATTGGATATTCGACAATGAATATATATATATATATATATATATTGCATAGATAAATAAAAACAGAATGCCTTTTTCTCCAACATGTTTCGTTCTTTACTCTTCAGGGAGATTGTAGCGGTTACAGTATGACGTCATTACATATATATTGTGACGTCATAATAGGGACAACATTCTAGAGCGACAAGGTCACAGCTTGCAATGGTTTAACATTGGTTTGTACTTGTCTATGAAGTAGTGTTCTTTTAAAATTCGTTTTACTTTGTCCGAATTTTGAACTTGATAAAAAGGAAATATTGTAAATTTAACATCGTTTTCTTTCGCACAGACATCTAGATGTTCACTCAGTGGGATACATCGGGTTTCAGGACACTTTATTTGTTGTTTGTGGACACGAACCCGGGCTCTTAAATTTTCTGATTGACCAATATACTGTTCATTACAGCCTGTGCATGTTATGACATATATTATGTTTTTGCAAGAGCAGTCAAAATTCTGTTTTACATAGAATTCTCCGTGTCTCGTGAAAGTTACAGAGTGTCCTTCAACAATATGTCGACACGTTCCACAGTTACCTCTGTTGCATCTAGACACAGTAGGATTTGATAAATTCTGTTTATTTGAAATAAATTTGGCTTTTGTTAGTATCTTTTTAAGATTCTGATTTTGTCTTTTGCTATTTATTATTTTTCTAGATTTCAGAATTTCAGCTCTAGAATGTTGTCCCTATTATGACGTCACAATATATATGTAATGACGTCATACTGTAACCGCTACAATCTCCCTGAAGAGTAAAGAACGAAACATGTTGGAGAAAAAGGCATTCTGTTTTTATTTATCTATGCAATATTTATGACTGAACACCAGTACTACTTTGGACATTTTGTGCGTATATATATATATATACAGTTAACCCCCTGGGTGCCACAGGGACATATATGTCCTTCCCCTTCAACCCTCACTTTGAAGTCCAATAAAAATCAAAATATCACACGCACACAAATACACTTCGCAGTTTCGAATTCTGCGGGAAATTTCCTGTTCCTTGATACCATCCACTATTATTTTAGACAAAGCTAAAGTGATGAAAATGACCTTTCAAAATAGGCTTTATCGAAAATGTCGCCATTTTTGACACAGTACGAAATAGCAATTCACAGCGTAATTTCCTGTATGTTTTGAAATGTGAAAATCGGATAATTACTGGGAGTATTGAATTTCAAAAATAACATATTCATGATCACTGATATCAGTTTTACATGAAATCGCTAATGATAATTCTGAAACGTTGCCGATAAATCTAGAATCGGTTGGGATGTTTTCGACAATACACTTACACGAACGCCGTAGAGCGCTTTCCGCCATATTGGATAGTGTTTACAAAATCACGTTTCGCGAAGGCCGGAATTGAGACGCCGATTACATCATTTATATTTCATATTCAGCTTCGAAAAATGCATCACTGAATTCCCCATACATTTTAGAATCAAATTGCAACTGGTCTTTGTCACCAATACCAACTGTCTAGATAAAATGAGACGAAACATATGGGGTGTGAAAACGAACGCTGTGCTCGAAAGGCTGCGCTGGTTCGAAATGTAAACAAAGACAAATTCCAATTTTACACTGCGTAGCATTTTCTGAAACTTTCCAACATTCATCCGTTTATTCATTGCTTGCAATGGCTCAATACCTTTGTGATATGCATGGAAAGAGTATCGTAGCAAGAAATAGGAAATTATAAATATATACAATGCAATGATTTGATAATTCATAAGAAATTGTCAAAATTTCCGTGCAGCGTGACACAAAATCACGCAGAACGACAACTGTAATTATCTGCATTTCTGGCTTCTTCTCCTACTTATAATGAAAACGATAAAAACATATAACAATACACAGATAGTCAGAATCATTATGATTACTTACATCTCATATTTATGTACAAACGATCCCTGAATCAATGGAAGGGTCCTCGCAAAATCCTGTGTACCCTTGTCAGCAAAGCCGCCATTTTGTAAGAAATCGATCATCGGTAGTGATGTCATACGTCAACACTGTTGTACATATTAGGCAATTTCTTTGAGGTGAAGGTCGGTTGAACAAGAGTAAACACAACCGCCCAATCCTTCCGATTACACTGTCAGTAATATGATGTATATTTTGCGTATAGTTCAGAAAGTTTTTCATGAAATGGACTTCAGTTTCTACATTTAGCCTTGTTCAATATCATATCACACCTGCATATAGGGTTTACAGTGTTTTATTTTTTGAAAGGTTTTGATTGTTTGAATAATAATTATATAAGAAATTGGCACATTTAGTGCAATACACCATATTCTAAACCTTTACACAAGTGTTAGAAGATCAAATGTAGCCATAACTGCAACTACTTTAGTTCCTATGATGTACAATATTCAATGCATTTGGACTAATATTGCAGTTTCATATGAACAGGTTAATGAACGGCGATTTAATTGAACCTTATAAGTAAAACTGATAATATTAATGAAAATGATTTATATATGTTATGAAATGTAAATGCACATATATTTAAAGGAATTGTCTTGTTCATGCATATTGTTGGGTTGTTTTATAGACAAAACAATGATGTATATTGATTGGCCAGGTGCGCGTTTGTCGGAAACGTTTTATGATTCACTATCATTGTATTCGATAATATAATCAACTCATATTCGATTAAAACATATTGTGATGACAGGATATCAAACTCTAACTATATTCATACGAAAATTGTTTAAAAATGTATAAACCATGTCATGTCTTAATTTGGACAAATCTTACATCAATATTCTATCATATAGTTCCATATATAAAAAGCTATGTTTTTGCATCTTTCATTGCATACTTATGAAGAGAAATAGCTACATAATCATAAACAAAGAAAATTCTTATCCTAAACAAAATAAT